GAATAGAAATACAGAAAAGTCCACCGTTTCTGAGTTGATACATCCTGTATTTTTTATATGTAGTAGAGGAATGCTTATAAAACATGATTCCATTCTCTGTTTTCTCAGAGCTCCATCAGGGGCGGTGGAAATAATTCCTCAATTTAACATAAAATTATAACACATTTACCAAGAATAGAAATACAAAAAAGTCCACCGTTTCTGAGTTGATACACCCTGTATTTTTTATATATAGTAGAGGAATGCTTATAAAACATGATACCATTCTCTGTTTTCTCACAACTCCATCGGGGGCGGTGGAAATAATTCGTAAATTTAACGTAAACATATTTGCCAAAAATAGAAATACAGAAAAGTCCACCGTTTCTGAGTTGATACACCCTGTATTTTTTATGTGTATTAGAGGAATGTTTATAAAACTTGAAATCACTATCAATTTTCTTAAATCTCCATCGGGGGTGGTGGAAATAATTCGTATATTTAACGTAAAATTATTACATATTTACCAAAAATAGAAATACAGAAAAGTCTACCGTTTCTAATTTGATACACCCTGTATTTTTTATAGGTAGTAAAGCAATGTTTATAAAACTTAATGCCATTCTCTGTTTTCTCAGAGCTCCGTCGGGGGCTGTGGAAATAATTCCTCAATTTAACGTAAAATTATTACATATTTACCGAGAATAGAAATACAGAAGTCTACTGTTTCTGTGTTGATACATCCTGTATTTTTGATGTGCAGTAGATGAATGGATTATTGTCTGAATCCAATAACTCTCTAGATTATACAAACAAATTCGTACAGACGTATCCTTTTTCGTTACACAAATCCAAGGTGAAACAAATTCGGTTTTTCCTTTTTTAATAATTTGCTAATCAAGCATTTCTCCTGAGTTCATCGGTGAAAGAAAAAGGTATTGGTTTTATTATCGTCGCCTTAAAATCTGTGGCACATTTAAAACAGATCTCACGAACATATTTGTTTACACAATTCTGTGCCTAATAAATCATAATGATTCTCCTTTCCTGGACGAGCTTTGGATTCAACTATTTAGTTTGTTTCTTTAATTCATTTAATTAATTAATTTACGCTGTATTTACTTTTCTTAAAACTTTATCAGGGGCGGTCCTGATAATTACTTAAATTTAACGTATATTATGGCAAGTTTATCAACATTAATATATATATATATATATATATATATATATATATATATATATATATATATTGTTATAGATTTATTAACCTCACAATTTTCAAAAATATACACTAAACTTCACTTACCCTTGCTAGCTTCTTGATATATTTTAGCACCTTTTTTTTTTTTAAAGCAGATCCTCTTTATCTCAGTGGTGTCGGTTCAAATTTTATACTTTATGAATTTTATTTATTTATTTTTTATTATTTATTTATTACATTTATTTAATTTATTTAGTTTAATTAAGTTTATTTAGTTTTAGTTTATTTAATAAAATGTAAAAAAACAATTCCAACAATAAAATACCTTGAATTATTGATTATGTCTAATGTAATAATAATAATAATATAATAATTAGTCAATAAAATTATATAATCTTTGTTACCATCGTTAATCGTATCATCCTGTAAATATTTTTCAATAAATAGACAAATTGCAAATACAAAAGCTTTCCAATTTATTACCACTGTATTAACACATAAAATTCTGAACATTGAATCAATTGCCTATTTTCTAACTTATTTAAACTAACCATACATTCGTACACATACACACTTATTATTATTAGGGAAAATTTAACATAGAAAAATTAAATTAAACTTCCTGTTAACAACTAACGATATCTAAAATTTGACATCAAAATTGATATGTCGCAACGTGACGTTTATCAAATTTCGGACATTTGTGTATTCTATAACTAAATATAGTCTTTGTCACGTTATTTATGTTAATATCAAATTGTCTTTTATGCTCTCACACTAATAAGAACGTGATTTACTCACTGATAATGTCTTGCCATCTAAATTCAATAATTCTTATCCAGTTTCCATTTCATGAATTCAGTATGTACTTCCGTTACCGTAAAATTTAACCAGTTTAATCTATTTTACAACTGCGCAATACAATTTGTCTATTTAACTTCTTTGTTATCCAATTATTATTATGACTCCTTATAAAATATCTAACTTATTTAAATTTAGGGCTTTTTTAGTCCCAAAATTTGGAAAGTTCCTACCCGTCAGATATTTTTTATCCACCTTCTTCATTCCTCGTTTCCACGGATATCACTCATTTGACATTTTTCCAAAAAATTAAATTTGCTGTACAGGATGATATTTTTTTAGTTTTTTATTTACACAAATATACATTTTATTGACTAATATTTTCTTTTAATTCATAATGATTCCTTATCATGACAATTTCCCCCAATTTACATTTGAAATTTTCCAAATTATTTGGTATAATTTCAAATGAAAATTTATTAATTTTTTTTTTTTGTATGAAAACTAAATTTAACTTATTATCAATTATACCTTTTTATTATTTTTAGTTCAAGTAATTTATATAGTTTAAGTAATTTATATAGTTTATATTTTAAAAATGTTGTTGCCCCATGTCAGTAGTTTCTTGGTCGTCATGAATTTGTTCAGAAGTGTCATCAAACATTGTTTTCCCCCTTTCATAATAATTAGTATTACTACTATCATGCCTATCATATTGGTTATAACTGTTACCATTGTTATTGTATCCACTACCCTGAAGAATATTATTATTATGTGTGGACAAATTTATCTCTACTCGTGTTAAATAACTGCATAATTGATCTAATTTTTTTTATATTCTGAATCGCTATAGTTTCAGCTAATTCTGATCTATAGTGCCTAGCTATGAACATCACCATGTCCCCTTCTGGAATTGGAGGTTCTAAGTACTGCGCAAGTGCATACAAGTGAATTGCATAATTATTTAACCCATATTTTTTACTTTCCCTGTATTTTCCAATATATAAATTTTCTCGTATAGACGCTTGTATATGTTCCCCCCAAAATTGTTGCATGAATACTCTTTCAAAATCTTCAAAATTTTGAATTTCATTTTCCCTACTTGAAAACCATACCAACGAATGACCTTCTAAATGTTCCCTAATATTTTCCTTTATATCATCTATGTCCCTCATACCTTTAAATTTATTTTTTTAAATTTTTATGAAAACACGCGGATGTAACTTTTTAATGTCACCATCAAATTTATGATTTATGTTGTTATTATACATCACTTTATTTACTTCCTCTTGATTGTTTCCACACCTTCTTTCTTCTTGTATCCTTTTTTCTATAATTTCCAAATTTTCATGTATTTTGTTACATAAATTTTCTTTGTTTTTTTCCAATCGGTTGTTTATGTCATCAATATCTATCTTAAGTTCCTTTCTAGTCTTTTTATTTTCTTCTTCTGCGATTCCTAAATTCACTTGTATCCCTTCTTCAATTCTACTTTCCAATAATTGTATATTCTTACTATTGCTTATCACTTTTTTATCAATTCTCTTTATTTCCGTTTCAGTTTTCTCTAACTTCGTCTCATTATTTTTCTTGTATTGATTTAACTTTCCTTCAATTTCTTGCTGTATTTTATTAGTTTCATCTTTAATCTGTTCTTTCATTTGTTCTTGCAGTTCCTCTATAATTTCTATTTTAATATTTTCTACTTTCTCCTTTATTTCTCGTCTTGTTTCATTCATCTTCTTGTTTGTTTCATCTATCTTCTTATTTATTTCATTTCGATTATTATCCATTTTCTTATTTATTTCATTTCGATTATTATCCATTTTCTTATTTATTTCATTTCGATTATTATCCATTTTCTTATTTGTTTCATTTTGATTAATATCCATCTTCTTCATCATGACTTGGAACATTTCCATTATATCCATATTTCCAAATCCTCTCTCTTCATTTTTCTCTTCATTTTTCTCTATATTGTCTCCAATTTCTCCTCCTCCTTCTCTATGTACAGTATTTTCTATATCATTTATTACCTCTTTACTTCTCTCCTCTTGTGTGTCCTCCTTTCCTTCTATCTCTGTATCTTCTTGCCTAGTCATAAACACAACTTCTTCTGCATTTCCTCCCTCGTCTTCTATTGTTCTATACAATCTTTCCAATAATTCCTTTTTTAAACCTGTAGTTATCTGCCCTCTTCTTGCTAGTTCTTCTCTCAATTCTGTCGCTTTCAATTCCATTATTGTTTTTTGAGTTTTTCCTTCCATCTTTATAATCAATCCACACTATACACTTTATAAATTCACTTTGATATAATACACTTGTTCTGTATTTAATCAATTTTGCTATTTACAACTGATGTCTCTCAAATCGAGCCCTAAGTTGGCTAGCGCCAATTGTTATAGATTTATTAACCTCACAATTTTCAAAAATATACACTAAACTTCACTTACCCTTGCTAGCTTCTTGATATATTTTAGCACCTTTTTTTTTTTTTTTTCTAAATTGTATTAAGATATATATGACTAATTGTAATGAGATTAATAATCCTGAGTAAATATATATGTATATGTAGTTAATTTAACTGATACCAAGTCTCTATTCAATAAGTTATTATAACTCCAGGTATATAAAAAATATATATTTATATAAAATCTTGTGTAGACATTCTACCACAGTTATATTATATATAACAACTTATAACGACATAATATAGTGTGGTAAATACAAATTGATCACTCTTATATAAATGGTAAAAATCAATGGTTGACTACATGTTATGATAATAAATCTAATTAATCTTATTATCATACTTTTCTTAAGATACTCCATGAGTAAATGATTCATAACGAGAATCTAGCATAATTGATTCATCTCTACATTATTGGAATATGTTTTCTTAGGTGTGTCCCTAGTAAGTATGTAATTAAGATGCCCCAATTGTCTATTTTTCTTTAAAAACCGCAGACGAGTCCATATATATATATAACAATATACATGTCAATAATACAACACTAATTTAAGCATATGCAATAATGTGATGATTTGTGTTGATTGATTCAAGGTCTTTCATTTTGGGGAGATAAGATACATGATCAAAAGTTTCATCCATTACGAAATCCGCAATGGGGGTTTCAGTATCATTTATCTTATTGTGGATTATGTAACTATTTGTTATCTTGATGACATCTGATGTATATGATAGATCGAAGTGCTCATTACCCACAACAAGCGAATCTGCACTATTTGAGTCAACATATAGACTTGTATTGACTTTTACAGTTTTTGATTGAAGAACTCCATAATTATCTCTCTTGAAGGATACAATCTGTTTTGTGCTATTACATATAAGTACTCCAGATTTGAATTGTATTGCCTCATCTGGGATCAACTCCTTACTTATTGTTAACTTACACCTTGACAAATTTGCGTTGTTATCAGTCACAAGGCATGGATCTTGTATCTGTTTAAATTTCCTTATATCACATAAGGTTAGTTCGTCTTTAGAGGAGCAACCCTCCGTTGGAAACCAAGTTTTTTCAGAGTATGAATATATGCTGTCTATATCCTTAGGAATCGAGACATACATGTTTTTGTATTGCCAATGGCACGACTTCTGTGTATATTTTATTCCAAAGGGAATTTTCATAATTTTTGGAACACCTATAATGCACTCTAAGATGGGAGGATTCTTTTCTAGTTTTACTATGTAAACCCTTGCAGCTTGATATAGGAGTTCTGGCTTATCTTCGTAAATTGTGTTGGCAAAAGATGAATAATACTGAATTATCTTTTGGATCTGGTCACCAGGAAGTAAATCTAGTGTTAATACACCTTGCAATGCACCATTAACTGCTCTTAAAAAAGAATTAGGTGTCAGTGCAGCCCAGTTGTTTATGAAGTTCATTTCTTGGTCATAAGTGTATAGGAGACAGTTGTAATCTTCAATCATCCAGTTTAGTTTCTGGGTTATATTGTTTATAACATAAGTCATTTTCTCCTGATTGCCAATGAGTTTGTTTGTTGTTTCAACAATGTTATCCAGATTCAGTTTTATCTCTCTTTGGTTATCATAAATTGTCTGCACCTGATTATTTAAACTAGAAATGTCAATTCGATTGTATACACTCAAACTTCCAACCACTGTTCCTAAGGCCATAGCCCCCCACATAATTGACGCCATTCTTTTTGTTCGCCGGGTGTTTGAAATTGGACGTATGTCGTGTTGTAGAAACTCAGGTGTATCAGGTTCAACTGATAAATGATTTTTGGAAAATATGTCAGTTGAAGAGTCTTGACCTATCTTAAGTTGTGGGTTGTCATATAAGTTACTTTTTGTGACATTCAATTTCCCTTTATTAAGAATCAGATCTTCCAGCTGTGGTCTTCCGACTATTGGATGTATGTCTGGAAGTTTCTCTTCAACTCTTATAATGACATCTTTCATGCGGCGTTCTATTATGGGTAAAATATTGCATGGGTTTTTTGATTTCTTCTTGCTTTCAATTATATGTGGTTTTGTTGGGAGAGATGTTATAATGGGAATATGAATCATTTGTGTATAGATAAAAACTTCATTTTCCGGTGTATTAAAAATCCCTTTTCCTACATCATAATACGTGGGATATTGACAATCTGATATAGTGAACATTAGCATAGTGTTAAGACCGAAGATGAAAATTTTTAGGTCAAGCATAGTCTTGGATATAATATTATAAAGAGTATATTAGTTATATAGGTCAATTTATGATACTCAATGAATAAACTTAATATCTTATAATCGTAGTGGTGATTTATAATATCCTTTATATAGTTATATTTGATACTTGATAGGATTAATTAGTAATACAAACACTAAAAATAACCTCTATGAGTATAGTAGTTGAGACGTGATAAAAATCTGTATTCTTTGGTGCATAGATTGAACTAACATTAATAGATAATTCATATATGACTTGGAACATTTCCATTATATCCATATTTCCAAATCCTCTCTCTTCATTTTTCTCTTCATTTTTCTCTATATTGTCTCCAATTTCTCCTCCTCCTTCTCTATGTACAGTATTTTCTACATCATTTATTACCTCTTTACTTCTCTCCTCTTGTGTGTCCTCCTTTCCTTCTATCCCTGTATCTTCTTGCCTAGTTATAAACACAACTTCTTCTGCATTTCCTCCCTCGTCTTCTATTGTTCTATACAATCTTTCCAATAATTCCTTTTTTAAACCTGTAGTTATCTGCCCTCTTCTTGCTAGTTCTTCTTTCAATTCTGTCGCTTTCAATTCCATTATTGTTTTTTGAGTTTTTCCTTCCATCTTTATAATCAATCCACACTATACACTTTATAAATTCACTTTGATATAATACACTTGTTCTGTATTTAATCAATTTTGCTATTTACAACTGATGTCTCTCAAATCGAGCCCTAAGTTGGCTAGCGCCAATTGTTATAGATTTATTAACCTCACAATTTTCAAAAATATACACTAAACTTCACTTACCCTTGCTAGCTTCTTGATATATTTTAGCACCTTTTTTTTTTTTTTTTCTAAATTGTATTAAGATATATATGACTAATTGTAATGAGATTAATAATCCTGAGTAAATATATATGTATATGTAGTTAATTTAACTGATACCAAGTCTCTATTCAATAAGTTATTATAACTCCAGGTATATAAAAAATATATATTTATATAAAATCTTGTGTAGACATTCTACCACAGTTATATTATATATAACAACTTATAACGACATAATATAGTGTGGTAAATACAAATTGATCACTCTTATATAAATGGTAAAAATCAATGGTTGACTACATGTTATGATAATAAATCTAATTAATCTTATTATCATACTTTTCTTAAGATACTCCATGAGTAAATGATTCATAACGAGAATCTAGCATAATTGATTCATCTCTACATTATTGGAATATGTTTTCTTAGGTGTGTCCCTAGTAAGTATGTAATTAAGATGCCCCAATTGTCTATTTTTCTTTAAAAACCGCAGACGAGTCCATATATATATATAACAATATACATGTCAATAATACAACACTAATTTAAGCATATGCAATAATGTGATGATTTGTGTTGATTGATTCAAGGTCTTTCATTTTGGGGAGATAAGATACATGATCAAAAGTTTCATCCATTACGAAATCCGCAATGGGGGTTTCAGTATCATTTATCTTATTGTGGATTATGTAACTATTTGTTATCTTGATGACATCTGATGTATATGATAGATCGAAGTGCTCATTACCCACAACAAGCGAATCTGCACTATTTGAGTCAACATATAGACTTGTATTGACTTTTACAGTTTTTGATTGAAGAACTCCATAATTATCTCTCTTGAAGGATACAATCTGTTTTGTGCTATTACATATAAGTACTCCAGATTTGAATTGTATTGCCTCATCTGGGATCAACTCCTTACTTATTGTTAACTTACACCTTGACAAATTTGCGTTGTTATCAGTCACAAGGCATGGATCTTGTATCTGTTTAAATTTCCTTATATCACATAAGGTTAGTTCGTCTTTAGAGGAGCAACCCTCCGTTGAAAACCAAGTTTTTTCAGAGTATGAATATATGCTGTCTATATCCTTAGGAATCGAGACATACATGTTTTTGTATTGCCAATGGCACGACTTCTGTGTATATTTTATTCCAAAGGGAATTTTCATAATTTTTGGAACACCTATAATGCACTCTAAGATGGGAGGATTCTTTTCTAGTTTTACTATGTAAACCCTTGCAGCTTGATATAGGAGTTCTGGCTTATCTTCGTAAATTGTGTTGGCAAAAGATGAATAATACTGAATTATCTTTTGGATCTGGTCACCAGGAAGTAAATCTAGTGTTAATACACCTTGCAATGCACCATTAACTGCTCTTAAAAAAGAATTAGGTGTCAGTGCAGCCCAGTTGTTTATGAAGTTCATTTCTTGGTCATAAGTGTATAGGAGACAGTTGTAATCTTCAATCATCCAGTTTAGTTTCTGGGTTATATTGTTTATAACATAAGTCATTTTCTCCTGATTGCCAATGAGTTTGTTTGTTGTTTCAACAATGTTATCCAGATTCAGTTTTATCTCTCTTTGGTTATCATAAATTGTCTGCACCTGATTATTTAAACTAGAAATGTCAATTCGATTGTATACACTCAAACTTCCAACCACTGTTCCTAAGGCCATAGCCCCCCACATAATTGACGCCATTCTTTTTGTTCGCCGGGTGTTTGAAATTGGACGTATGTCGTGTTGTAGAAACTCAGGTGTATCAGGTTCAACTGATAAATGATTTTTGGAAAATATGTCAGTTGAAGAGTCTTGACCTATCTTAAGTTGTGGGTTGTCATATAAGTTACTTTTTGTGACATTCAATTTCCCTTTATTAAGAATCAGATCTTCCAGCTGTGGTCTTCCGACTATTGGATGTATGTCTGGAAGTTTCTCTTCAACTCTTATAATGACATCTTTCATGCGGCGTTCTATTATGGGTAAAATATTGCATGGGTTTTTTGATTTCTTCTTGCTTTCAATTATATGTGGTTTTGTTGGGAGAGATGTTATAATGGGAATATGAATCATTTGTGTATAGATAAAAACTTCATTTTCCGGTGTATTAAAAATCCCTTTTCCTACATCATAATACGTGGGATATTGACAATCTGATATAGTGAACATTAGCATAGTGTTAAGACCGAAGATGAAAATTTTTAGGTCAAGCATAGTCTTGGATATAATATTATAAAGAGTATATTAGTTATATAGGTCAATTTATGATACTCAATGAATAAACTTAATATCTTATAATCGTAGTGGTGATTTATAATATCCTTTATATAGTTATATTTGATACTTGATAGGATTAATTAGTAATACAAACACTAAAAATAACCTCTATGAGTATAGTAGTTGAGACGTGATAAAAATCTGTATTCTTTGGTGCATAGATTGAACTAACATTAATAGATAATTCATATATGACTTGGAACATTTCCATTATATCCATATTTCCAAATCCTCTCTCTTCATTTTTCTCTTCATTTTTCTCTATATTGTCTCCAATTTCTCCTCCTCCTTCTCTATGTACAGTATTTTCTACATCATTTATTACCTCTTTACTTCTCTCCTCTTGTGTGTCCTCCTTTCCTTCTATCCCTGTATCTTCTTGCCTAGTTATAAACACAACTTCTTCTGCATTTCCTCCCTCGTCTTCTATTGTTCTATACAATCTTTCCAATAATTCCTTTTTTAAACCTGTAGTTATCTGCCCTCTTCTTGCTAGTTCTTCTTTCAATTCTGTCGCTTTCAATTCCATTATTGTTTTTTGAGTTTTTCCTTCCATCTTTATAATCAATCCACACTATACACTTTATAAATTCACTTTGATATAATACACTTGTTCTGTATTTAATCAATTTTGCTATTTACAACTGATGTCTCTCAAATCGAGCCCTAAGTTGGCTAGCGCCAATTGTTATAGATTTATTAACCTCACAATTTTCAAAAATATACACTAAACTTCACTTACCCTTGCTAGCTTCTTGATATATTTTAGCACCTTTTTTTTTTTTTTTTCTAAATTGTATTAAGATATATATGACTAATTGTAATGAGATTAATAATCCTGAGTAAATATATATGTATATGTAGTTAATTTAACTGATACCAAGTCTCTATTCAATAAGTTATTATAACTCCAGGTATATAAAAAATATATATTTATATAAAATCTTGTGTAGACATTCTACCACAGTTATATTATATATAACAACTTATAACGACATAATATAGTGTGGTAAATACAAATTGATCACTCTTATATAAATGGTAAAAATCAATGGTTGACTACATGTTATGATAATAAATCTAATTAATCTTATTATCATACTTTTCTTAAGATACTCCATGAGTAAATGATTCATAACGAGAATCTAGCATAATTGATTCATCTCTACATTATTGGAATATGTTTTCTTAGGTGTGTCCCTAGTAAGTATGTAATTAAGATGCCCCAATTGTCTATTTTTCTTTAAAAACCGCAGACGAGTCCATATATATATATAACAATATACATGTCAATAATACAACACTAATTTAAGCATATGCAATAATGTGATGATTTGTGTTGATTGATTCAAGGTCTTTCATTTTGGGGAGATAAGATACATGATCAAAAGTTTCATCCATTACGAAATCCGCAATGGGGGTTTCAGTATCATTTATCTTATTGTGGATTATGTAACTATTTGTTATCTTGATGACATCTGATGTATATGATAGATCGAAGTGCTCATTACCCACAACAAGCGAATCTGCACTATTTGAGTCAACATATAGACTTGTATTGACTTTTACAGTTTTTGATTGAAGAACTCCATAATTATCTCTCTTGAAGGATACAATCTGTTTTGTGCTATTACATATAAGTACTCCAGATTTGAATTGTATTGCCTCATCTGGGATCAACTCCTTACTTATTGTTAACTTACACCTTGACAAATTTGCGTTGTTATCAGTCACAAGGCATGGATCTTGTATCTGTTTAAATTTCCTTATATCACATAAGGTTAGTTCGTCTTTAGAGGAGCAACCCTCCGTTGAAAACCAAGTTTTTTCAGAGTATGAATATATGCTGTCTATATCCTTAGGAATCGAGACATACATGTTTTTGTATT